CAGACGTCTCATACAACTTTCGAAGTTTTTTGTTACTCTTCGACTGGTTTTTGCACGGGAATGTTTTGATTTTTTTTTCTTTTTGTCACTATGAAAACGGAATTTATAAATGAAATTACAATGTCGTTTATCACATAACACATTCAGATTTATAATGAAATACATTTGAGAATATTAAAGTTGTGCTTACCACAAAATAATTACTTTTTAAAGCTCTGCTGGGTGAAATATTATCAAGTGTAAAATCTTCCGACTTCATTATAAACGGTGAATTCGGTGAAAAATTTGGTCTTGTTATTTGTTAAACCGTGAAAAGTCCTGACCTCATTCGAGTTTCCCTTAATTTTTAGTAAAAATACATATATTCCGTATTTAAGAAAATATGAATTTGCAAATTTCATCAAAATTTTGCTAAATGACAGTTATTCATTGACGTTTGAAAATACAAATTTTTGTCTCGACCAATCAAGAGCTTAGTAGTTCACACTGGCGCATGCGCATAATGTAAAAAACCGTCCATGGCGTGAGGCCCATTGCATAATGGCGGACGACTTTGATTTCGCATTTGCACATCGTGGGTGTAAATATCCGAGCGGAATTAGTACCCTCGCACGGTGCTCCGCACCGGCTCGGGGATCAGATTAGTGATATATACCGATTATATGACAAACTATTCAGGAGCTGTGTGTGCATCGGTCTTTTACAGTTAAATGTGTGAAAATTGTTAACAAAGACTTTAGAGTTCGATGTTAGCGTTCGACGTCCAAGTCAGGCCTATAAATAGCCATAACATAGCAGCTAATAGCATCTTGTTTTTGAGTCCTTTTAACCTGACATTGGTAGCAGGATAAACGTTTACTGAGTTAGGATTGGTGTGATATTTTGAACATTAATATTTTGAATTCTGCGGCACCTCTGGCAGGTCCATATTTCGGTATCTTACCAAGGTCGAATATTTATACTACATTCTGGTGAATTCAAACTTAGCAAAGTCAAATAATTAGGGCTATATTCTGGTGTATTTGAGCATGCCAAGGTCAAATAATTATAGCTATATATATTCTAGTGTATTTGAGCCTACCAAGATGAAATAATTATAGCTATATATTTTTTGGTGTATTTGAGCTTACCAATATCAAGTATACAACAATCTGGTGAAGTCGCGAGCTCACCAAGGTCGAATATGTATACCATATTCTGGTGTATTCGAGCTTAATTACTAAAGTTCAATTTTAAACATTCTGGTTTATTCAATCTTACCAAGTTCAATCGACCTTCATTATTTCATAACGCGTTTTATACTCAGTGGCTACCTTTCCATGCATAGACTAAATAAATGGGGGTTTTTTTGTATTTTGCCGACAATTTCTTATTTAATATTTCGCGTTTTTCATTCCGCTATATTCGACCTTCGCTATTTTTTATCGTGTTTTACTGAGTACCTTTATAGAGACTATAAATAAATAATTTAGAGTCTTATTTTCCCAATTCTGTACACTTAATTTTTCGCGTTTGTGCGGATATTTTGATTGATGCGTTTGCGACGGTCGCATCACTCTGGATCCACCCGTGCATACGGGACCAGTCATTTCTTTCTCCCTTGAGGTAAAAAATTTTATATCTGCCGTTAATGGAATGATATAAACTGCATTATAAGATATAGGTTGCATTCCAATTTATAGTAGCTTGCTACCAGAACAATAAATTACTGATATATTCAAATTTGAAATATCATGCAGATTTGAAATCATCGGGGATTTTGCTGTTAAGAAAGTAGTATAATACACTAGTCAAGGATTGCTCAATTTTATTATTTTTATGCCTTACTATATATAATTCTCATAACGTATGTCTTAATTAAGGCTCTTTCATAAGTCGAACTTATAGCTACGACAAAATAAGGATGCGACTCGAATGCAAATAAGATGAGAGATAACATATGATGAAAAAGAGGAAAATAATGAACTTAAACAAAGATGTTAGTGTTCAACGGTAGAGATTTCTTCATTCCTTCTGACTACATGCGTGGCAGCTCATAGCACCATTTCGTTAGCGTTCACTTAGGAAGATACTATACCGCTTGGTTGGAACAAACAGGAACACGAACCCGTTAATTGATGTCAAAATATTACATTGACATAAACTGGGAGCTAAACTGAGATCTCCTGCCTGAATTTCTTTGTGACTCCACAGCCCACATGGAATAATTTATAAGATATAATTTATGATGCATTTTGGTTTCCCGATAATTATGTGTTTCTGTTATTATGAAATATTTGGGTCACTCGATTAGACCTACAGGTATAGTAATTTGACATTTATCCAACGAATGCAATTATATGTTATTCTGGAGAGCCAAACAATCTTCTGCTTCACGAAACTTCGAATCTGGTCTATAAATCATTCATCGTTATGCTTATACATGATAGCAGCTCATAATGCCTTATCTTTATTAAGACCCCTTGAGACGTTCAGTTAGGAACAGAACAGCATCCAGCATTTTTTCTCTCTTGTGTGATTTTTTTAACAGTTCTGCAGCTTCTCTAGGGGTCCAAATTTCGGTATCTTACAAAGTTCGATTAATTATACCACGTTCCGGTGTATTCAATCTTACGAAGGTCGAAAAATCATACCATATTCTAGTGTATTCAATCAAAGCAAGGTCGAATATACAACATTCTGGTATATTCGACCTTCACTATATTCCACCTTCACTCTATAATATACAATGCTGGCAAGTTGAGACAAACAGCAATACGTATTCGTTGATCTAACAAATTTTACATCTGCCGTTAATGGAAGGAGATAAACAGATGAGATTTAGATTGCATTTCGGTTTAAATATGTAACTTGACATTTACAAACTAGGCTTCTAGAAACACTGAAATATTACGCAGATTCGAAATATACGCAAATGCGATCAAGATTTATTTCATTGCTCACTGACAGTGGATCGTATATAACATCGCTGATGAGCTACGACATACCAGAAACAGGTTTTAGCGCAAATGAACTGTTTTGCCCAAAATTACAATAATAATGACTTATAGAAATTATGCATGTATTGTTGAAATATGTAAATTACGCCTATATAAACCAAAAAACAACCACGCCTAGTTAGATTCATATGAACTTCATCGAAGGAACTAGGAGTAACTATAAAGTAAGTTATATTTTAACGTGTATATTATATTTGTATTTCAAGCTCAATTTCTTGTACCTATAACAATTTTGATACTTATATGTAATTTATTTTCTATTTAGTTTGACTATATGTGTATATATGTATAATAAACATCACGAAATCGTATAGTACAAGTAAACGCTCCTGGTTAGCCGAAGTTGTTCTGGCTCCGGATAAAACCGCCAATACGTGCAAAACATGAACTGTAACTAAGACATGTCCAAGAACTCATTAACTATTTGGTTCAGACATGAAAAGTTGGACGTCTGAAATGGACCATTTTTAACTGCCGATTTTACGTGATTATATAGAATTTGTCTCATGGTAGGTACACTTCGTAAACATTTATATAACACTCTATTAATATAATGTTTTTAATTGTTTATTTTTTATCATGTGGCATTAAATAAATTACTAGAAATACATGCATGCAGCTACCCCTCGCTATTTCAAACCAAGTACACAATTTCCTAAGTTAACCTGACCTAAACTTATATTATGAAATGACACAAAACTCAAATCAGTCTTATTATATTTTACCGAGTATATTATAGCTAATGCTCCCATCATTCAATACAAAAATAATCATAAAGCTAGTGTAAACATTGCCCGTTCAATTTTGCTGCATTATACCAAGCCAGCAATTAAGTATTAACGGTTTAAAATCGAGGTTTCAAACGATTAAAACAGTACAAAATCTTCACAGACAAAGAAAAAACTTCAAATGTTATTTTATTCTGTATTTTGCAGTCAACGCCGGCGGATAAAAGTTTTATACTTTATAAATATAGTGTGTATTTTTTACCAAAATTCAAATTACACTTTCAAAAACACTTTTTGAAATTAAAGCAAAGGTGTAATAGCCTTTCACAGGTTTAAGCGTTTGCATAAAAAGCTGAAAATTTAACAAATAAACGGCATACAAAGCTGAAAAGTATACAAATACGGCTCATTCTTATCGCGAAACAAATACGAAATAAACAAAGTAAACAAGTACCTTTTGTCTTTGAAAACATTTATAAGTTTGCAGATTATGAATTATTCCTCTTACACGGCTTTGTCTTGACCGTATCCACGTTCATCTTTGCTAACTGTCATGCTTCATATATCTTGTTTCTTCTCGTTTTACTTTCTTTGCACAAAGTTTATGAAACGCTTTTACAAAAATGTTTACGAAATTACAGTTAATATAAATTGCTGACGTTCTCATTGAAATACAAACTTTCTGTCTCAGCCAATCAGAACGTTCGTTGATTACCAGACCTTACTCGCGCATGCGCATCACTTACAAAACCACCCAACGTCGACCGTCCATGACAAAGAATTTGGACAACTTTGGATTCGCCTATGTTCTACCGGGTTCCGGGTGTAATTCCTAATCTCCGAGCGGAATTAGTACCCTCGCAGGCGCTCCGCGCCCGCTCGGGGATAAAAATCTCCATTTTACTGATCGTGCTAGTGGGAAAAATAGTTTGCACGCTCTAGCTGTTATCTTGCTTTCTGTTTTGAACCAATCAACCGTTTAAGCTAAATGGGCTTCATACAACCCGCCCCTGCTGTGTTGTAATAAATTGTCTAAGTAAATTATTAAAATTATGTTGCCCAATATGCTTCTCGAGATTGTTGTCTAAGGTTCAAGGTTTTCTGTTTATTATAAAAGTAAAATTCATATCATTTTATTTTATATTTAAATGTAAAAATTACAGCAAATATATATTTTTCTTCCATTATGGTAAAAGTATCTTTTTTCTATTATATATTTTCTAGGACAATGGCAACAGCTTTTCTTTCAAGCAATACTCACCTGTTAACGAGAATGAAACCGTTTAAGGAGAGAATGAAAAAACAAGCCCCCAAAGTTATTCAGCAGAGTGATTATTTAAAAGAATTCTTGCTGAAGATCCAAAATGAAGGATTGCATGCGGCCTATTTAAAATACTGCGACCGTCAACCTCGCCCACTATCTCCAACAGTAGGTGCATACCCAGGACAATTTTCTAAAGAAGAGGATGTTGAATATGACGTGATTATTGTTGGAGCTGGTATGGCTGGTCTTGCCGCAGCGTATGAGCTGAAGAGAGCTAGGTTAAAAGTGAAAATCCTGGAGCAGACTGGTCGTTATGGTGGAAGAGTTTTCACTTATGGGGAAGATGCAGGCCTTGCACCTGGTCTATATGGCGAAGGTAGACTTAAAAGGACAATACCCCATTGAATATTTTTATGAACGTCCAATATATTTTTCGATTTATATACCTCTTTATTTTTTGCATTAATAGTTTTAAATATAGTAACAAAATTAGTCACCTATGTTTTCAGATTCATATTTGAGTGAAAATGTTTTACGCAATTTTTGGTACTCAAAATTGCCACCAAAAATTTATACATATTTTTGAACGTCCTTTCACATTTAAGAAATCCATTCACCCACATGCACTTCCACAAGCCTTTCTATAATTGTGTTGAACGCAGTAAAAAACGTTTCCTATTCCTTATTTAACTTAATAAAAAGATTTTGAACGAAATATATTATAATTCGATTCAATCACATTCTTATTACATTACTTCGCTTGTCAATTTCGGCGGAAATGTCCCGTGTTTCCATACAGTTATAGAATCACGCTTTTCGACCAATCAGCACACGCGTACTATAAATGTTATAATACAGAACGTAATAACATTGTTCGGCCAATATATCTTCCTGTAATTAATCCTTGTACCGGACGAAGAATACAAAGAAATTCCCACTTCCTTAGTCGTGGTTTGAGATGAAGTTACACTATTTGAAACAAGCCCCAAGCCATCTTTCTATATATTTTTTATATTGTAAGTCTTAAAAGACGTGTCCAAAAGTCGTACTGTTGCGCAACTAGTGTCAATCTGGTGTCTTTGCTCAAGAGAAGGGAAAGAATTATAAAGAAATTCTTCCTTTCTTATACTGCCATACCAAACGTTAAGTTTTGTAACTTTTGTTTTATTTTTAGCCGGAGCGATGAGATTACCCGGTGGTGTGGATGAACCTAACAATAGAGCGCATTTTCTAACGGATGGATATATCTCTGACTTTCAACTACCCATCAAAAAGTTTCCAAATTTTGATAAAAAAGGCATTTCCAATATTTACGGATTCAAGGAATTAACGTCGAGTACGTGATGTTACATTGAAAACAATTGACCTACAGTAGCTACTGCATATCATAAAGTCATATCCTTAATTGTCATAATATCAAACTTAATCAAAATGTCACCAATGTCAGCATATTTTAGCCATTTTTTTTATTATGATACTGATATTGTCTCTGCAGAGACATTCATGTGCTGTCAATGTAACTCAATAGAAATCACTCTTGGAGTAAGGTCTAGTGGATTATCCTCTATGACGTAATAAGGTACATGGAGTATGACGGACGACTTTAAATCAGTTAATTCACCCCTGCGCATTCATATGTCCGTTTCTGTTTATTTTCTAGAGCATTTGAATAAATTCTATAAACGACGAAAGCGCAATGATCCTTTTAATTTTTTGTTAGACTGGAAACAAAGTTATTTCCTTACAGTTTGGCCAAAGTGGAGGCAAGGAATTAATTCAGAAAGCGTCAATGTTAAAGATATTGGTATTGTTTATACTTTCTTGAAATTTAGCATCAAATGTGGTATAACAACTGCCAAAAATAGACAAAATACTTCGGGACGTTTCGACCTGAGAGCCTTCGTCAGGACCTCAAGTCGAAACGTCGAGAAGTGTTTTTTCTATTTCAAGCAGTTGTTATACTACATTTAATCTCTGTAAATAATAATAAACCGTTAATCGAATTATTTTTTTAGCAAACGCGCAAGGTTGAATGAGTTAAATTGCTTTAAACGCTTTCGCATAATTAACTCCGGGCTGTTGGACACAAGGTCGATTGTCACAATAGGCCAGTCATAAGTTCGTGTCTAATTTGAATATGAAAGGCATCAATTTTTTTACTCACCCTGTACATGTTTTGGAGACTAAATAAAAATACAATACAGCTCATTAACTATGTTATTGTCCAGTCTCGTCACGTGCCTATTGTTTACTTACCAATGGCGTTCGTCTGGCTAAGCTCCTCTTGACTTGAAAAATATGTTAATTAAAATACTGCTATTGGTTTATCTGTGGAAAATACAATAGACATGTGATGAGAAAGGAACAATTTTTTGCATAAATTTACCTCAACATAGTTAATGAGTTGTATTGCAGTTTTATGTGGTCTCCAAACCATGGGTATTCTTTTAACTCTGCTCTGACTCAGCCTAGTCGGAGAAGGCAGCAACTGAATGGTTTGAAATATGAAGTATCTGTAGCCTGAAGAATGGAATAATTATTGTAGTTACTCCAATTTTTGTCATTCCACGTGGGGAGACATGTCAATATAGTGGGGGGCGCCTAATTTTGACCAAATTTTATAATTTAAATGCTCATGCTTACATCAATTATTCATCACTTTGAGCATAAAATAATATAAATTTAATGTATGCTCTCGAAGAAAATAGTAAAATATTTTATTTTTCCAAGAGTCTGAGGGAAACATTGAAACTCGAGGGAACACAAAGCTCACTATTTCCCGATGTAGTGTACGTCAAGTGCTTTGTTATATAGGAACAAAAACATACATTTTACACAACAATTTCATTTAAAAAGCACTTTACTTTTTTATGACAATATGGGGGCAACAATTTTTAACTTGTTTCCTTAGCGAAAAAAATTCAACATGAATACAAATGCACTCGAAATTTTTATTATTTTTATTATATATTTTTTCCAGAAACCACACATTTTTGCAACATTTTTAAGATGGCGCGTACACCTGGCAGTCGCCACCCTGTACGAATGCCATGGTGACACGCTTCTTTAGACAATCTTCTTATGCACCTTACAAAGGAATTTTACTAAGGCATATGTTATATTATTAGGGACAGCTATTAGCTATTATAATCTGTCTCAAAACTCTTCTAAACTTGCTTCACACTATGAAAGCCAATGCTACGTTGGGTAATGTTTCATGACATATTTAAAGTCGTCGTTTAATCAATATTTTAATTTTTATCAATGTTTAGACGATTATTACACCAAAACAACCGGCGTTGTCACGGATCAATTGATTGCCTGGTTGAATAAAACAACCAAGCCTGAGGAGGAAATCGTTGTTTGGGGTCGCTGGATTGATATTTGGAGCCAATTTACGTTGCAAAGCTTTCTGGAGAGCAATGTTAATGTTATTACCGCAAAATTGAGAACCGAAGACCAAGATTTGTTAGACCTTGACATGCTTCGAAACCTTTTGCCTTGGTCTAACGATGCAATTCGTGGCTTCACGGTGTTTTCTTACACACCGCAACTGGATCAATCATTGGCTCAGCATCTCCGTGATGATCTGGGAAACTGGTGGTCACATGATATGCATACCTTGGTTGGTGGTATGCACAGCTTACCTGAAGCATTCTTCAGTCAAAATCGAACGACGCCATTGGTTTCTGATGATTTAAGTTATAACCAACAAGTTCACAAGATAGAGTATCATTACAATGATGAGCCTACCAAGGATTATGTCAAAGTAACCTGCTACGCAACTGGAAATGAATTAGAAGAACCTGCATACACTGCACGGGTCAGTCTTGTAAAATTCATTACAGTTATCTTTAGTTTTTTTTATATGCCAGACTTCCTTTAGATAATATATTGTCAAGTTAGTTTACAAGAATTTGTTAAAGCTCTATGTACATCATATTTCTACATTTTATTTTTTTTTTCTTTTCTTTCGAGATTTTTGAAAATTTTAATTGTAGCTATGATTTTAAATTTAAATTCCATTGTAAAGTACAAAAATAGTCAATGAACTCTATCACAATACGCATCAAATTAAAGAAATGATATTAGCATAAAAATAAACTCTGTGTATGTGCTGATGTATCATATTTATATCCAGGCTGTAATCCTCACCACTCAAGTCAACATATTGCGGCAGATTACGTTTGAGCCAATTAAACCAGCTCAGGAAGACAGGGAGGCCCTCAGAAAGAATCTTCAAGCCATTGAAGACATGTTCACAGGACCTTCCACAAAGATTATCCTGCAAACCAAGACCAGATTCTGGGAAGACGAGAAGTACGGCATCCATGGTGGCTTTTCTAAGACCAACCTACCCATCGGTCAAATACATTACGTGAAGCCGGATCCTGACTATCTCGCGTCCACCCAGCAAGGAATAATTTTGATCTACACCTGGAAGAATGAAGCCCTGATTTTTGGTTCCTTGACCAAAGAGCAGGCTAAGAAGGAGGCCATTGAGCAAGTTGGAGAAATTCACCCTGAGATCACAGAAGAAGGGGCAGTTGAAAAATGTATTGTCCATGCTTGGTACAACCAACCCTCTTATCAAGGTGCCTATAGTCTTTTGAAGCCCACTCAATTCAACAATGTCAGGTATGTTTTTGGCATACGAATTTTACACACACTTTAATTTAGCTGGGGTGGATGGTCTCCGTTATGGTAAATATATCGATAAAATAATAATCATTCCCAAATAATTGGGGTAAAGGCTGGTTTCCACTCAGGAAAATCCGCTGGTGGATGTTGACTGGATAGTCCAAATCCGCTGGGATTAGTTTAAAACAATTAGTTTTGGTTGAGAACACGTGGTTAAATGAAACTTTTCTGTACGATAGAATTATTTTCTTAGCTGGAAACCAGCCTTGCCACGCAGAAACGCCAACAATCGCCAGGAATTTTAGAAAACAATCGGATTGGCCCCCTTTGCATTTGTTTCAGTTAGTTTGTTGAGGACATACGCATAAGAAAAACTAAGTTTTTTGCTCGAAACGGTCTGAAGGATGATTTTCTGACTGAAAAATAGTTTTGCGGCGGATTGTTCTTGCTCTCCGAGTCTGTGTTACCATGGAGTCTCAGCGCTGACCCGCTCTTTACGCAAAGTTGTGTCAGGTGTTTTGGGGAATTTGAGGAATTTAGGTGTTTAATCACCGTGCTAATGAGAAAGGAAAAAAATAGTACATGAAATTTCTACTGGAAATTTCCGAACTTTCCCATAAAACTTGCTTTTCAATAAGTTGCTTTTCCGACGGGATTTTCTAATTTTCCAAGGTTTAAATGGTAATTGGTAAGATCCCCAAATATGCAAAGAATAAATATGTATTATTTTCAACCGACAGATATTTGTGGGAACCAATGGGAAATGTCCATTTTGCTGGCGAAAACATATCACTTACGGCTTGCTGGATTCAAGGAGCTTTGGAAAGTGGCTTTAAATCAGCCTATCAAGTTTATTTACGTCACATGAAGTTCATTAATACTGATAACATTTAATGATAACATTTCACAATATTACTTTCTTAGTTAAGTAACATTTAGGATAAATAACCCTTCATTAGTGTAAACGTTTTTTGTAATAATCGCAAAGGACATAGTTTAAGTTGATCATGTTAAATTGATTAATTAGTTATATTAAACTGATTTAATTATGAATAATTTCTTGCCCATTTCTATTAATCTTTAAAGTGGCACATTATGAAACCCATGATCAAAGGGGAAACGATGGCTAGGTGGCTGGTCCATCCTCCCCCGTCGAAAAAAAACGTTATTTCCATCAAACGTTTCCATCATCATTTTGCCGAAGGCGTGTGAATTTCGTTGTATAAAAAATGAGACGAAATTGTGATATTACAATGTGGAACAGCATTGACACATAAAAGGATAGACTGCACTGATTTCTAATCGTTAGGTATTTTGTCCTTTAAAGAAAAAAAATAGAAAGACGTCCAAATTGTAAGACAAATCTTATACTGTAAATTATCAAAAGGGCTAAAGGGTTAAACTGGGTAAAACTATTTACTTGTTGTGAAACTGTAAAACAGTGCAAATATCACTTTTCTCCAGTCTACTCTCGCATCTCAAATCCATTGGGCAAACTGCACTTATCTGCACAATAATAATGTGCCCACTACATTGGAATTAGGACACTTAAAAGTTACTGACAGGCAAAGCATTGTCAATGCATTTAATGACTATTTTGCAAATATTGGCTTGAATCTTGCCCACGCGGTTCCAGTGGTTAATATGTCTCCCAATGAATACTTGTACAATCCTCTGTGTAATAGTTTTGCTTTATTCTTGGTCACTCCTAGTGAAATTATAAATGAAATTAATAGCCTAAATCAATCGAAATCAGTCGGACCATTTAGTATTCCTACAAAATTATTGAAGATTAATAAAATCCTTGTGTCTAGACCATTGGCATATTTATTTAATTGTTCCTTCTCCTCAGATGTTGTCCCGAATAAATTGAAAATAGCGAGAGTCATTCCTGTGCATAAGAAAGGACCTAAAACTATCATTTCTAATTATCGTCCTATTTCGTTACTTTCGGTATTTAACAAATTACTTGAAAAGCTGATGTATAAGATGGACAATTTGGTTTTCGTTCTAATCGCTCTACTTCACATGCTATTCTACTTATATCAGATAAAATTCAAAATGCTATTGAAAAGAAACTTTATTCATGCGGCATATTTCTGGATCTAAGCAAGGCTTTTGAAACTGTCAATCACTCAATTTTAATTCGAAAACTTGAACACTATGGAATAAGGGGAATTGCAAAGAAATGGTTTTGTTCATATCTTACTAATAGATTTCAATTTGTTTCAATTGGTAACATAAAGTCAGACCTAAAGCCTATCACATGTGGTGTTCCACAAGGATCAGTTCTAGGTTCTCTTTTGTTCTTATTATACATCAATGACTTCAACAATTCTGCTCCCGATTTACATTTTAACTTTTTTGCTGATGATTCTAATCTATTTTACTCACATAAGAGTTTGCAATGTCTAGACACCAAACTGAATAAACAGCTTTCCAATATTAATGAATGGCTTTGTGCCAATAGGTTATCCTTAAATATCGATAAATCCAATTTTGTTATCTTTCACCCTCCTCAAAAGAAAATCCTATATTCAATTAATCTTAATAATGTGACCTTCCACGGGAAAACATACGTTAACGCTATTTCGTTCGTTCGAAAATATCGTTCGTTATCCGTTCGTTTGCCGTTCAAACGCTTGAAGCGTTCGTTGAAACGATTTTCGAGATCGTTCATCGTTCGAAATTGCCCGTTCGAACGCTTAGGAAAAAACGTTTGAAAATTGGTCCGAAAGCGTTCAACCGTTTGATTTACCGTTCGTTGAAACGTTTGCCGGAATTTCGTTCAATCGCATTGGATTTGGTTCAACATATATATATATATATATATATATATATATATATATATATATATATATATATATATATATATTATATATATATATATATATATATATATATATATATATATATATATATATATATATATATATATATATATATACATATATATTAGATTAAACATTTGCAATGCTACAACTTTGTAGAAGAAGCGCAGAATGTGCTACACAGAAATACTCCCAGAAACGTATTCAGTTCCTTAGTATAGAAGGCTTGTAAAGAAAATAGTGGGGTTATATCAATCTAGCCTAATCGAATGCTATTTTGTGCGCTTCATGTTATGGTTTATGCTTAGCGTCATGCAGACAGAAGGCTATTAAGATTCAGTGCATGCAATTATTCCATTAGCGTCAAATTTCACGTCTTAAGCTTTCTCTCAAAAAATTATCGTTTTTTGAATTTCGGTAATGCACTAAATGGTTAGAATTTGTGCTTTACTATACTTCTGTAGCTTCCATAAGCCAAATTTCACCGCGCACCCAAACAACTCGCAAGCCATATATTAGCATTACGAGCCATAATATGCCTTGGCAAGGTGCTATAATTAAGTTGCATAATTGTATGTAAACAGACAAAACCAGATTTTAAAATGAATCGAGGGATTTTGCGTGTTACATATTAATATCGTACTTTTAAACCATGTGTATATATAGCTAATTTATTTACATCTGATAAACTTATCTGGCCTCCGTACGAAGCAGCTACTGATTAAAATCTATTCAAAATTAAGGACCGCATCCTAGGACGGACCTTTCAGCTTGAAATTCGTTGTCTTTAATGCAGTCTGACATAGCTACAAATTATACAACAATTGAAATACCCTAGGTAATATTTGAAGACATAAATACAGTGACCTAACGCGCGTTCGGTAGGGTTACGACGAGAACTAAGAGATCCTCATTTATTGGAGGCCAGGATAGATAACGAAATATCATAGTATAAGCAAAACGTGATTTAATTTTATGACAAACAGCGAATTAAGGGACCTCGCAGTACCAAGTATACCTCAAGACCCCATCCTCAGCTCTGTTCGTTACGCCACTGCATGAATATCATAGCAATTTAAATATGTACGTGCATCTAGTCTAAAACTAGAGCCGGAGCAACAAGATCCTCAGTGCCCCGCTTACAAAATTGTCTTATTTCCTTAAAAAGGTATCTTTGTCTCCCCAGATCTAAGCCATCTGGCTCGATCGTTGCTGGCATGTTGAACGGTGGCAATTGCATAAATATAACTTATACATGGCATAAATATAACTCATGCATTGTAAATATTTATTTAGACTCTTAATTCACAAAAAAATACTTCATATATATTGATATATGCACATTTCAGCACAATTCACTCCCCATGTATATTTTGGTTGTAATTTGATTTCTCTCGACTTGCTCCTCGAATCGAAAACGTGGAACGCGGAGAAGGCTCAAATCGTATAAATGATAGAGACTGTATGAGAGTAATGAACCTATATCAATGATGTTCATTGTGTGACTTTTTTTATTACAAAAAAAATTCCGTGTTTTGTGAGGTTGAGTTTTGCGCTATGTTTTAAAGTGCGTGCAGTCCTTCATTGCGCACAACTGGGCTGACACAAGCCCAAAGGGCAAGTTGCCAAGCTAACGTTTACAAACATTTAAGTTTGACCTTTCAGATATTTTGCCACATATATTTCGCTATATATAATTCATCAGAAAAGGAGCATTGGAATTTATCTTGCTTGGACAACATATCAGCTGTTGGGCAACAGGAAAATTTTCACTAATTTTGATTTTCCCTTGATTAGAAATTACATTCCGGATATTAAATTGCAACTATGCATGGTCATTGCACCTTGAAGCCTGCCAGCAAAAAATGAGCAAATTTGAAATGGCGCCTGTCAACTGTTTATGCGTGCATGAGCGCGCGGGTAAAGATCTTTACCAATAATTTCGCGAAGACTGTCCCAAATATTTGCTGGATATTAGCATCTATGGAGAAGTCAAGGCGTTTTAACGCAAGCATATATAAGGTTAATACCAGGTATGAACACTAAATGAAACATTAGCTATGATATAAGGAAAGTCATGACTTGGCCACTTTATTAGGCGCGCTTGCAATTATTTTCCTCCAAGCATTGAAATGAGGCTTATTGATGAAATCATCAACAGAATTCGTATAACGGTTCTCTCGATTTAAACTAAAGTTTTTTTCCCTTGAGTGTATTTGCTTGGCTAAACTGTAGCTCTCTATTGACCATGCATATATATCGAAATATGACACGCATTCGAAGTAAGATTTCATATAGATGATCATGCAATTGTATATAACAAGACGTTCTCAATTGCATTTTATGTATATGTTAACGCGAGTAAAATGTATTCGGATATACATGCGCACTGCAATATACCTCTTTAGATTGCTTATCATGGCCGGTGGAATCAAGTTGGGCCACGATCATCCAATCATTCCGAATAAACATGACATGAAAGGTTGCCAGACCTTGAAAATGGCTTGGCTGAGGTTAGAAAAGTTGTTAGCTTGGGCCGTGGTGGTTACAATTTATAGGATGCATTTACTTACATTGAAACAACAATTGTTTACAAACTTTGCTGACATTTTTCATAAAAAAGGGGTAGATGCTACCTCGAAATATATATAATTATATGATATAAAAAGATTTCGCCAGACAAAATGGATTAATGCTTTCATGCATGTCTTAAATAATCTTGATTAGTTAATTTTACTGTAAGCAGGAGGCACAAATTGTGTCACAAGTAGATGTCTCGAAGATGTTGAGGATCGTTTGTTTCTTAAAATGGTGAGTATAAACTCCCCTGTGCATGCATTTGGCATTGTCGTTTCTATATGGGCGGCAGCATTGCTATATGCTTTGCAGAAAAAATTATTTGCACTCTTTGTGATTTAAAAACCCGGTTTCTATATGGGCGTCTGCTATTGCTATATGCTTTAGTGAAAATACTGTGCAATCTTTTCTTGCTGCCGGGGTTGAGTATTAAGTTGTTTTGCAGGGCGGAACTGAATTCGGACCTTCGGGATTGCGGATTGCCGC